CTGAACATACATAAAAAAAAATATCGCGACGAATTGAGAACCTCCTCCTTTTTTGAAGTCGGTTAAAAAATTATTTTACATACCTAATCTAAAAAATATGCCTACGCCTAAGTTATGCGGCTAAATTTAAAGAATTTGTTTTACCAGTTGTTTTTATACTGTTCCAACTGACTTTAGACAAACTATACGCATGACGTTAATTACTATCCAAATCAGCAAATCCTTGTAGCCTAAAAATTGTTCAGCTTTCTAGACCTCAATCATTCTTCATACTAAGCCGGCTACTCACTACGCGTTACTTGCCAAGTACTTGCCAAGTACTTTGCAAGTACCATGTAATGTGTATGGAGACTTGTATAGACTCAGCAAGTTACTTGTACTTCCCGTCGGTAAACGGACCGAAGTCAAAGGATCCGAGTAAAGTGTTTCGCTACCCTAAATTGCTACTTTAGAAGGCGCGCGTAATGTAGACGATTTACTTGTACTCGAACAAGTACTTGCCAAGTTCAGTCCAAGTCAAGTCACTCGGCAAGTAACGCGTAGTGAATGTCGGCTTTACCAAGTAAAAAAAAAAAACATCCAAGTGTTGCCAAACTAAAACATTTTGACCTTTTAATGAATAAATCCGATAGGTAGGACCGATAAAATGAACGTTCTGAATAAAAAAATAATATATCTAATTCTTTACAGAAACTAACAAATTCAAAGCGTGTCGTCTCATCAAAAAGCATAACCTCAAAAAGTTAAACAGATAAATCTTGGGTAATCTTTGTAACCATTGTGTGGAAAAAAGTATTAAATTTAACACTAACCATATTTAATTTGGTGGTTTTTAAAAATCAAAAAGCATGATTTTATCAGCGAATCAACTCGATTTATATAAATCAAAAATAAATCTCGATTGACAGACACAGAATTGTCATCGCGAGGAAAGAGATGAGACAATAGATGTATTTGAAAAATAACGGTATAAAATATATAACGTTACGAGTTGTAACAGCAAAAGAGTTCTTATGCAAAAGGTGCTGGGTTTAAAATCCGATGAAGACAAATACCCTCTTTTTCTATATTAGGAATGGAATTATCGTCTTATATTCAAATAAATGATTATTACTTTTAATTATTCAAAATTTAATGGCGATGGCGATGACCATCACACACAGTCCCGATTTTAACAGAGGACGTGACCGGCCACTTTATAACACAAACAACTACTTCCAGGGCTATATGCTCAACTGGACATTGGATTACAATGTCATGAAATGTGTTTGCGACTGACATTTTTAATACAACAAACTCTTTGTTATTAGAGATGATACGAAATACTAGGAAAGTTTATTTGGTAATAGTATGACTGTGAAACGTAACGTAACAGATACGCATTTTCTAAAATACTAACGCCAGTTACAGCTGGCTTTTTTCTTCCTATCCTCGATGCCGACTAGGTACACTACGTCATGCATACGATATAACGTGCGGTTCGTATTTGGTATTTTGAATACTTGGAATATCTATGCTAATATACTTGGTTAGGCCTGTTATATATTTTTGGTAGAAACTAGGGATGGGTTATTATAACGGTTTATGCTGGTTAAAAAGTTTGATTAAAATAATTATAATGGATTGAGTTTTTATTTTCATCGAGGGGTAAACCGCTGAGGAAGTCTGGTGTACAGACTCAAGAAAGTCCCTTGGAAATAAATGGAAGTCCATGGAAGTTATTTGAAGTTAGTGAGAAGTCTTGAAAGTCAGGAAGAAGTCCATAGAAGTCATGATGCAGTCAATGGAAGTCATGATGAAGTCCATGTAAGTCAGGAAGAAGTCCATGGAAGTCAGGGTGAAGTCCATGGAAGTCATGATGAAGTATAAGAAGTCATGTGAAGTCTATTAAGATTTCCTGAAAGTGCGCATGCGCCTCGGTCATCAGGTGACTAAAATTATGTGGTGCCATGTGCGTACGCAGAAAATTATTATTTAAGTATATTATATATACAAACACTAAGGAAAAAACAAATATAGAAGGGAGCACAATAATATAAACAAAATTAACCTTATTTTAATATTATATCTTTATCAAAGAAGAGGATATGTATTTATTTAACTATAAATAATTACTCCTAATAGTTATTGTATAACTCTACCTAACATAAATTTTTGTAGGTACCTTTTATTCAATTTATTTTGCTTTAATACGAAAAGAATTGTTAACATTTAAAAAAAAAAATAAATATATCAATTTTCAAAGTCTAAAGGTACAGAACAGAACAACTTTAAAGTGAAACACAATCGATATACAGGGTGTCAACTTAAAATCTTGCCACCCATAATATGCAGGATGTTTGCAAAAGGTATTTACAAAACCATACCACATAGGTCCCTTTACACTACAGGTCATTAAGAAATAAGCCAAGCTTAAAATGACATTTTTCCATTAACAATGTTATTTTAACACTTTTTTAATTACTAGTGGTGCAAATGGCTCTTATTTCTTGAACCAAAATAAGCCGATTTAAGAAAACTTACCTCAGTACAAAGATCGTTTCTTCTTTATAATTTTAAAACGGCTCATTCGATTCTGCTTAAATTTATTATGTTGACAGTTTTATTTGACAAAAAAATGTGTCAAAATAATTATTCACTAATATTAATCCTTTGGCGTAGAACTTGAATTTTTTTATTACTCGCACATTTATAATTTAATAATTTGGAATGTAGGTTTTAGAGAAAAAATTATTTACTAAAACATGAATACAAATAAGAAATATGTATAGCGACCAAACTGAGCAACTTTGTATTGAGTTAAATTTACTTAAATCGGCTTATTTTGGTCCAAGGAATATGTAGAATGTTTTTGTAAAGACCTTTAATAGACAACCCTGTATATTCCTTCCAGTAAATAGTATGAAAAATCGAAAATACATAGTAATCTTATTTTCAAAGGGACACTTTTAATGAATATTTTTAGCCTTCATGGTTTAAACCCCTAGAATTTATAAAATTCAGCAACATGACTATTCATTTGGGTAATTTTTATTAAAGCGTCCTCTAGCGGGATTAAAAAACTTACGTACTGTAAAGTACACACTTTATTTGAAAGCTATTTTGATTAGGAATTTAATTCACAATATAACAAAACATAATTTTTTTAATATTATCTACATAATACTAATACATAATAATACTCTCCCTAATTCACCTCCTTACGAGTGAATTTTAACCCCAAAAGCTGAGCTTGTCCGGGGAAAGGGACGGCTATTATTATTATTTGCCGTGGCGCTCCGGGGCGACTTAAAGATGATTGATGGTGCCATTTGACTTACAGGTGAGGAAAACCCGGAAAACCTCACCCACCATCATGAACTCTATTAATTGAAAAATCGTGCAGATTTCTAACGTATGGATATACAACAATTATAATATCATTGAACTAAAATAATAAATTTGCGCTATACATAAATCGCTAATAAAAATATCGTTCAAATGAAGTGTCACACTTTACAAAACGTAACAGTTTTTTATCCATTTAGAGGGCGCTAAAAAATCAACAAAATTAATAGTCATATTGTTGAATTCTCCATAAAATTACCATTCAAATGAAGAACAGACACATACTCTGACCAAATGAAAAAATCGTCGGCTTCGGTATGATTATAACCTCCCACTTTAGCATGCCAGAGAATCGATTGACAATAGACGTTACTTTTAGTGTCGCCTTATATAATTTATTATTAATTGCATGATCATATTTTGTCAATTTTGTTTAAAATAAATTTCTGCTGTATCTACTTTAATAAAAAATTAGTAAGGATAAATACAACCTTTATTTTAGCTAAAAAAGTGTAAGTGACCTCTTCTTAGATAAACCCTCTAAGTGTAAACCCTCAGTTGTGATAATCAGAAACCTAGCGGTTCTGTTAATTTCACATCCTCATCTACGTAGACGTGGACTTTGTAATATGCCCTTCCACATAACTTAATATCTTTTAGAGTTTAGGGTCTATGATAGTTTAAGCCTTGAATTATCAAACTGATTAAATAAAGCAGAATTAAACGAAGCAATCCTTTAGTTATTTATATTGTTCTGCTGAAAGTTTGTGGAAGTCACTGGAAGTAATCCTGAAGTCAGGTGAAGTCATCTGGAAGTCAGTTGAAGTCATCTGGAAGTCAGGTTAGTCAGTGGAAGTCATTGGAGTCATGTTTAAATTAGAGGAAGTCATCTGGAAGTCCAAGAAAGTCCATAGAAGTCCGTATGAAAGTAAGTAGAAGGCATGGAAGTTTGGAAGTCTGGTGTACAAAATTTTGGTAGCGGTTTACCCCTCGATTTTCATTTAACTAAAATAAAAGATGGTATTTTTTCATTGTAGTTACTACACCTTTGATAAATAAAACGAACAAATAAACAAAATTCTAACATTCTATGAGCAGGGTCGACTAGAGGGGGACAGCCAGGACTAATTCCCGGGGCCCGGTCTCAAATGGGGGCCTGGCAACGGTATAGGGGGACCCGGCAGCGGTAGTGATTGTTATTTTCAGAAGTTCGATAGAAGAGGGGGGAAGTTCTTAGTTGAAAGCCTTTCTTTTGAGAGATTCAAGTAAAGGAGGAGAAATTTTTGCTTGGAGACCTTCTGTTATTTAATTTTTTAAAAATTGTCGCGGGGCTCGATCTGGAGAATTGTCATGGGGCGCGGTCTGACTCTCGGCGGCCCTGTCTATGAGGTAGTAAGTAGTTACGTAAAATGTCTCTATCTAAAAATTTAATCGTAAAATATGAAATTGTTTGACAAACAATAGTAATAACAATAATTACCTAACAAAATAAAATTGACATATTTAAAAAAAAATCACTTAAAAATAACAACTGTTCTAATTAATTTCCTTTCATGCGATTTCGCTTTTCTGTTAAAAATTGCCCTGCTTTGGAAAAAATTCTTTCACAAGGCTCCGAAGTTGCTACGGCGCAACATTTTTGTCTCACTAGTTCTGCTAAATTTAGAAACATATTATATGAGTTTTGCCGCCACCATACCATGGGATCCTGTTGTCTTTCCAATATGTCTTCTTCCATATATCTTTGGAATTCCATAAGTGCCCTTGAAGATGCGTTTAATGTCTTTTTTGTTTGCCACTAACCAGACTATCAAAAGAAGACCAAACTGATAGATCCAATTCCGTAGAAGCCGTGGAGGGTGCTGCTGACTGATTTTTTCTGGTTCTGGATTAGGTTTTTCCTTGGCAATTATTACACTTAGTGATGCAATAATACCTTTTCTACTGTTTTCAGCTGCGTCTGCATTTTTAAAGGGATACATTTTAAAATGCGGATCTAAAAACACGCATAGAGCTAATGTGTTAGTATACCCTATATTGTTGTTGCGTTCTTGTAGACTATCGTGTAATTTTTTTACAATAGTTTTAGATAGATCTAAGAGTTCAATATTTTTTAATAGTTTCTCGCAAAAATTTAGTAACCCATTTGTTAAAACTATAATTATTGAAGCTGACATGTAAAGTTCGCCACTTACTACACGTGTGGTTCTCTCAAAAGGACGTAATATCCTGCCTAACTCCTTGACTAATTGCCATTCTTCACCGGTTAAAATTGGTAAATCTACATCTAGCAGAACTATTGTAGATCGAATTGAAGACTCAAGCTCAGACTCAAGCATAAAACGTAGAAATCCACCGAGTTACTACATCTTGCAATATTTTTTTTGTGCTAATTTCCTAAATTTTTTGGATTTCTATCAATTTTTGATTGGCCTTTGTACTGCGTTTTAAATGACTATTGTTTTTACTTTGTCTATGCTAAATCTTTGCTGCATTAGCAGATATGGCCAGCACTATCCTCCCATTTAAACCCCATTCTGCAGCGACAGCTAACAGCTCCTTTGACTGGTGTGATTTTGATAAAATATGGAGCAAAAAAGGAGTGTGGATTGCATTGTAAAATTCGTATTTATAAAGTGGGCAGTTATTGCCATAAAGTTCTGATTATTAGAAGATGTCCAATAATATGTTGTTCTTGAAACATATGGCATTTTTTCCAAAAACATATTTATCAAGCTAAATTTACATTTTTTATATAGGCCTGGTATAATTGTTTTGGAAATTGTTTGACGGTTGGGTAAATTATAGACAGGATTCAAAGCCTTTACCAATGAAACAAATCCTTTATCTTCTACCATTCGAAAGGGTTAATATTCAAGATAGAATAGCTTTAGTAATTCATTGTCAGTCTTGCTTTTTGTCGCGTTATTTAATTTTTTTGAAACAATGTAATCTTCAATCGTACTACTATTTTTTCCACTGCCTCGAACTTAAAATAGATTGCTGTTAGAGACTATGTGTTGTTTTATGTTAGTTTCTGATTTATTAACACCTGAAGGGCCCTTAAAAAAATTAAAAGTTTAGTAATTTCATTCGTTTTTCAAAAAAATTATTTACTTACTGCTGTATCTTTCGCTGTAAATGCAGATTGGGTCAAATTCTCGATTTCAACACCAATGGTCGATGTAACACTGGCACTAGTAGCATTGCTAGCAGGTTCAGGTCCAATAAAGGTTACGACACTTATTTAACTTAACTGTTGGGTGTTTTCTTTGCATGTGTTTTTATAAATTTGAAACCGACGATTTAAACGCACATACATTATGACATAGATCACATTTTGCTAATTGTTTTTGTTCATCAAAAACATTGAAAAAAATTCCAGAGAATACTAGATTTACTATTCATGATTTAATAATATCACTCTCTGACTTTCTGCACTGACAATTATACATGCTATAGGACTAATATAAAAATATAAAAAAAATACGTAATCGATACAAATTTCCAAGAATGTTGACTATTCCGAATGTCAAGGGTGTTTATGTTTATATTAACAATATTAAGACGAGTGAGAGGAACACCGAATTTTTGAGGGAAGATTCATTCTGATTATTGCATCGCATCGTGGGCTAATTGCACTCTTGCTTTCACCTCTATTTTGATATTTTTGTCTTAAAGACAATTTTAATAAATTACCATTTATATTATTTCTATTAGAATTATAGTTTTATTGTTTTATTTTGAAGTAGTTTACAGTTGGATCGTTGGAATAATATTCAGACTCTGTCAGATTTATTTATTATTTCCTAATGCTTAAATAGAAAAAATGTCGACGACGCCAACCAAGATAAACAGGTTTGCCCAAAAAGAAGCGGTAAAGTACAGAAAGTACTAAATTATAATATAATATACAGGGTGTTCTGCATTAGTACCGACACAGAACAGGTGCGTGTTCGGCAAGCCCATAATATAATTTAATTTACTTCTATACCAAGTTGTACCCTTAAGGAGTTACGGAAGCTTAAAGATCTTCAGGTCAGAAATTTAGAAAAAATTTAATAAACCTGCAACCGTTTGACATAAAAAATCTATATTTAAGTAAGTCCTAATTTGGAGTTGAGTTACAATTAATTGAAATATTTTAAGGGGTGGTTTTGGGGTAACCCACCCTTACAACTGTACAGAACTTTTTTGTCCATCCATTTTAATTTCATTTTATGCAAAAATTTTAAAACTGTTCTTACCAAAGTATTTTATTTTTTAATAAACTTAATATTTGTCGAGAAAAACGAAACAAATTAAATCAATGAATTATTATGACAATGATAATACAAAAATAAGTTGAAACTTGAGTTGGCCATGCATTTCATAAATTAAATTTAACAAATAGGAAATTAATTTTAATAAAATTGATTTAAATGAGAACACAATTAAAACTAATATTAATATATCTATATATAATAACAAAAATTGAGGAATATCGTTTGTTTATTTTTATCGAAGAAATGCCTTTGTAATTTGCCGCTCAGCTCCTGCACCTGCAGATTACCGCAAATAAAATCATGTAATTTAGCGAATTCGCCATTCCACTGTTAAGTTCTCTTCCAAAATAAATCACACGCATTTTTTAGTTGCGAGATTAGAATATTATTTATTTTGTACTTGGCTTTGGCTAGTCCGTTTAAATTAGAAATGATGAAATGGGAATCAGAAGGACGGTATCTGTATCACGGTAGGCGAAAAGTACGACTATGTGACGTAAAAATACTAGGTAAAAAGTAACTAGTACTTGGAACCGGAACGTAACATACCTATTACTGAAAAATACTGATTTGTATCATCTCTATCTGTTATCTACTCTGAAGATAATTTGACTAATCAAACCATGCATGAAAGTTTGTTACAACCCACATAAAGTGCAAACAGCCACGCCATCTTTACTTAAATACCAAAATTAAAGTCCAGTGTTAATTAGTTATCTACTATTTAAATTTAAAATCAAAAAGAGTTTGTTATATCGACGGTCGCGAACACGTTTTATGACACTGTAATACAATGTCCAGTTGAGCATATAGCTCTGGAAATACTTGTTTGTGTTATAAGACAGCCAGACACGTCCTGAGTTAAAATCGGGACTGAAAGTGTGCTGGCAGTCGCCGTTAAAATACCATTAAATTTCGATCTATTTACCTAACATTTGAGAGCGACCTTGAGAGCGATATTTTGCATATTAGATTTCGCTTTTAATTAATGTTTGGGTAAACTCGTTCTGTCACATCACTTGAAACTGATATTATAAAAAGTGATGGATGTAGCCATTGTTCAGCGAGCCTCACATTACATTTATAAAATATTGCTTTTAGAAATTGCTATTATACCGACGTTTTTAATTACTTTGTTATTGTATATTTATTTTTTTACATATTCTGAATCAATATATTGACTAAATATAAATAGTTACAATTTAATCATTTTTTATTTAATACCCACAGTTAGGTAAGCACATACAGCTGACATTTAAACATAATAATAATAACAATAATAATACTCTCCCTAATTCACCCCCTTACGACTGAATTTTAACCCCAAAAGCTAAGCTTGTCCGGGGAAAGGGATGGCTGTTATTATTATCTGCCGGGGCGACTTAAAGATGATTGATGGTGCCATTTGACTTGCAGGTGAGGAAAACCCGGAAAACCCCACCCACCATCACCAAAAATAATATTGTTAAAGAGGTTGAGTGGTGTGTACACACTGGGTAATAAGAAATAGATCGAGAGTATTTAAAGTGTGTAAAAATTTGTCTAAGCGCTTTCGGCCTATTAGGCCATCATCAGAGACTTCGTCAAAAACTATAGAAGATACATGTAATGTTTTCTTTTTTTTTTAATAAATTATCGTAATTTAAAACTTTTTTTTATACTTACCAGAATTACAATGTTATATTTTTCTTTTTAATTAAATATAATGTACATGTAGTTTTTTTAATTATCTTTTATTTTATCTTTACCCGGCTAGCAAATATTTTCTCTTTCAATAAAAAAATACAATGTCAAAATCTATAAATCTCAGAAGCAAGTTCCGTTAGATTCTTGGTACGGCCCTGTTCTATTCTTAATATTCTCTAAGCTGTAATATGCAGTCATACAGATGGAAGCAAAATCAATAATTAGATGAAAATAGATATAATGTATAGGCAACACAACATACTGTTACGCAGCACCCTGTAGCGTGCTGCGGTCGTCATAAGTAAAGGTACGAGTAAGTGAAGAAGATAGAATATTCTCGAAATGTCATTCCTTGTCATAGAAAAGTCCAGATTGTTTAAAAAGGGTCTAGAAGGTCGAGGCAAGCTATATAAGGTGACGACCTGACGTGAGAGTTTCAGTTTTATGATAGACGTTAAACGTTAATGTTATCAGTTGAAGTTTATTGTATCAGTTGTATAATTGTTGTTAAAGTTTAGTTAAAATAAAGTGTGATAACAAAAACCAGCGTAACATTGGTGACAGCGGTGGGATACAAAGTAAAAGTTCATGGTAAATACTAGATCCACTGAATACAAAGCAGTCATGGATACTTCAGGCCCACCAGCATGGTTTTTGTAGATGGAAGAGGAGAGAGCAAGACGAGAAGAGGAAAAGGAAAGGCGTAGAAAAGAAGAGGAGGAAGAAAAGGAAAGGCGTAGGAAGGAAGAAGAGGAGGAAAAGAAAAGGCGTAGGAAGGAAAAAGAGGAGAAAAAGGAAAGGCGTAGGAAGGAAGAAGAGGAGGAAAAGGAAAGGCGTAGGAAGGAAGAAGAGGAGAAAAAGGAAAAGCGTAGGAAGGAAGAAGAGGAGAAAACGGAAAGGCGTAGGAAGGAAGAAGAGGAGGAAAAGAAAAGGCGTAGGAAGGAATAAAAGGAGGAGAAGAAAAGACGCAGGATGAATGAAGAAAAAGAGAAGAAAGAGAGGCATAGAAAAGAAGCGGGTAAAATTATGAATGGTTTGCTGCTTATTCAAGAAAATTTCAAACAAGAGGTAGTTCAGCTAAACAGTCGAGTAGATGTTTTAGCCCAGCAACAAGAGAATCTAAAAACTAATTTAGAGCAACAACAAGAGAATTTAAGAGCTAATTTGGAACAAAAACAAAATCTAAAAATTAATTTAGAACAACAACAAGAGAATTTAAAAGCTAATTTGGAGCAACAACAAGAAAAAGCTAGAGCAGACTTGGAAAGGCAAATCAGAACTAAAATAGTTAAGTTAGAAAAAATAATTCGTAACCAAGCTCCAGTAGGCAACGGTGAAGCTAAAAACGCTACCTCGTCTTCAACCATAACTAAAACAAGCCACATTCG